CATGTGTCAATTAGCATGCATCCCATAAATCCCTTCATGGACTTGCTCTAGATTCTTTTTAGCTTCCACAGCATCTATGCATCTCAACAGTACCTAATCTTGACCTTTCTTGTATAAGATTTCCTCATCAAGCACAAACCCCACTACTAATCTTCGAATAATCCTTTTATCATTCTCCAAAGCATGCTCAAGATATTCACAACACTTAATGTAATGTACAATGTCATGATACTAGGGTCAACGATCTATTTCTTTCTCCATATTTGAACAATAGGCTAGTGAATCCTGCCTTTGTACTAGAATGGGTTAAGTTCCCATATTGGCATTTATCTTGAACATTGCAACCAAAGTAGCCACTACATCAACAATTTTAACTCATGAAATATTACGAAATTAAGATCTGAAAAGTTTCATGAAAATTTGAGTTCGGGAAGGTCAAATTATGAAAATATCCTTAATGGGGTATTTTAGTAATTTTACACCTTTAGAGGTACTATTGTGATTTCCAATGCACCAAAAATATGAAATATTAGAAAATTAAGATCTGAAAAGTTTCATGAAAATTTGAGTTCAAAAAAGCCAAATTATGAAAATATCCTTAAGAGGTATTTTGATAATTTCACACCTTATAAGGTATTGTTGTAATTTCAAATGCACCAAAAATCATGAAATATTATGAAATTAAGATCTAAAAACTTTTATGAAAATCCGAACTTAGGAAGGTCAAATTACAAAAATATCCCTAAAGGACATTTTAGTACTTTTGTAATTTCGTATGAGCAATAAAAGTTTTAGTGCTTAAAAATCACCAATTTTAACTTTTGAAACATATTGATTCCAATTAGGTTATGAATTTTGAGAATTGACCCTAGTTCTATCAATTGACCAAGTTTTTGTACAATTTTGACTTTATTTGACTAATTTTAATTTTTTTGACAAAGTTTGATCGAATTTGACCCGAGTTGACTTTGGGTCTCCAAATGGACTAATTTGTGCACTTTTTATGGGTTGTAAATGATCCTATATTAATAGTTCCTACCTATGTTTGCAAATGAGCCCAGGTTAGTCATGTTAAAAATGTTCCAACAAAATTCAATGTCTACAGTAAGCAATTAGCAAGTTTCACTAAAAAAAAATAAGCTAAGAGAGTCAAAGCAAAAGCTTAAAAGAATATAAGAGATCTTAAAATCATATACTAGCTAGTGCATAGCTTTGAGTTTTACCAAACCTTAGAAAAAAATTTTTTCACAAAAGTTCTTGTAGATCATTATTAGAAGCTGAACATTTGGGCAACTTCTTGGCTTGGAAAACTATTTAGGAAGGTCACTAAATTCAACCAAAAGAATTTCAACATCTAAGGTAACAACCTAAGCTGTAACCCATGTATGTGTGTGAAGTTGTATGTTTGTATAATCTTGTTGATTGGTCTTGGCTTTGAAGAATTAAAAATTTTAAAACTCTACTACTTTAACTCTATAAATTAATGCATTAATCCCTTTATGAATGGGGTTTTATCGAATTTTTCATGAGAAAAATTAAGTTTTATGAAAGATGGATCTCAACCATAATGCAATGTATGACAATAATTTCGTACAAAGTGGTGAATTAATGGATATGTGACTGAGATTATAACCCAATAAAGAAAGCTTAGATAGGGAGACCCCCTATTACATTACTTGTTTCTAATTTGTATGGAAGGTCTCTTAACGCTTTTGTCAAAATAACAAAATATTGGTATGTTGCAAGATGTTTAAGCTAGTGTAAACGGCTTAAAAATCACTCACCTTTTTTTTTTTCTTTTAGGTGATAGTTTGCTTTTTTCAAAGCAAACCATCTATAGATTGTGAAAGAGTGAAAAGCTATTAAAGGTGTATGAAATAGGGTTAGGACAAAAAATAAACTATAACAAATTTGGGTTATTCTTTAAGAAACATGAGCAATGGAATACAAGAGGTAGTTAAAAGTCTATTTCGGATCCCAACTACTAACAATCCAAAAAAAATACCTAGGATTACCAATGTTAATTGAAAAAGGGAATAAGCAGGCTTTTATAGGGGTGATAAAAATGATGCAACAAAGAATCTAAAACTAAAGCTAGAAATAGATTTTAGCTGAGGGGAAGGAGGTATTCATCGAAGCAGTTCTACAATCCATGTCTTCCTATGCCATGTCTTGTTTCTTTTTCCTTAAAAGATTATGCTAGTAAATAAACATGTTCATGAGTACATATTGGTAGAGCCAAGAAAAAAGGGAAATAAAGGCATACATTGGATGGCTTAGAAGAAACTTTATAAATCTATGAAAGAAGGTGGTATAGGGTTCACAAACATGGATTGGTTTAATATAGCCCTTCTGGCAAAGCAAAGATAGAGATTGATGCAGGATCCCTTGTCACTAGTGCACAGGGTACTCAAATCGAAGTATTTTCCTAATACTTCTTTCCTTGAAGCTAATGTGGGAAACTACTTCTCATATACATGGAAAGGTATTTGCAAAGGCAGGGAGGTATTAAAGATAGGTATAAAGTGGAGAGTGGGAAACAGATAAATGATTAAAATTTGGCAAAATCCATAAATAGCTGAGGCAAGCTCCTTTGTTTCTTTACCTTTAGATAGCTCCATTCATGAGGTTGGTATGGTGAGAGGACTTATAAACAAGGAGGATGGTAAATGGGATAGAAGGAAACTGCTAAAGTTGTTCATAGTAGCCATGGTGAAGCAAATAATGGCAATATCGATTAGTAAAGTTATGGCCTAAAATGTTCAAGTCTAGCATTTCAATTAGTGGTTATCATCTCTAGAGGTTAAAAAAGCAATTGATGCACGAAAGTCAGGAAACCTACAAGGAGGGAGAAAGGGGAAGGTAGATGGAAGGGTGGAACAAATTATCACATGTTGATCTCCCAAGTAAGCTAAAGGTATTTGGTTGAAGATTAGAACAAATTATCACATGTTGATCTCCCAAGTAAACTAAAGGTATTTGGTTGAAGATTATGTAATGAAATTCTCCCTATGTACAAAAACCTACAAAGAGGATGATCAAAACACAAGCGACATGCCAAAGGTGTAATATGGGGGAGGAAACTGTGATACATGTTATCGCTAAATGCCTAAAAGCAATGGAAATGTGGAGGGAAGCTGGGCTGACCGATTACAACTGGGGACAACAGGAACAGAAGATTGGGAATGGTTGAAAATACTGACCAAAAACCTTGATAAAGGCAGGTTGGATAAGGTTCTAACAGTTTCTTGGGTAATATGGACAAGTAAAAACAATTATGTTAAGAACTGAGTACAACGTAGCAGCCAACACACAGCAAGGTTTGCCATTTAATACCAAGAAGAGTATAAAAAAACACAAGAAAGACTAGATAGTTTGACAACTAAAATAGCAGACCCGTGGAAAGCACCAATAAAAGGTAAAGTCAAGATAAATTTTGACGAGGCCTTGGATGTAAATAATGGAATTGAGGGTATCGAAGTAGTGGCCTGAGACTTAGCTGGAGTTATTCTTGGAGCAATGAGCATAAAGTTCCAGGCATGTATGAAACCATAACAATTGAAGCTTTGGCAGCGCTGGAAGCAGTCAAGTTTGCATCAGACATGGGTTTCCAGCGAAGAAGATCGTGCACCAAATAAAGAAGAAAAACAAAGATTTGTCCCAAGTTGGTAATCTTATGAAAAAAGTCTAATGTAGGCTACATGGTTTCACATTTTGGGAATGTATGCACGTCAACAGAGAGGGCAATAAGGCATCTCATTAGCAAAGATGGCCATGGGAGAAGAGGATAAGAGGGTTTGGGTTTAAGACTTCCCGAATATATTAGTTGTAATCATTGAGCAAGACAAACCTGGCAATTATGTAATGAAGTTTAAAATTTATTTTTGAAAAAAAACTACTTACAAATGTTTATGTGAATATTTACATGGTAGAAAAGTGAACATTCAAATAATATTGACATGATATATTTCATTTATTATAATAATGATAGATGAATGTAGGTTAAAGGATAAAAAGGAATTCAAATAAAAATTTAATAATCATTTATTTGTTTCACATTTATTATAATTATTCAAGTCTTAAATCTTTTTATTTTAAATTTATTAAGCTTTTAAATATTTATTTTCACTCAATTAAATCATTAAACATCAATTTTTACCTAATTGAATCCTCAATTAAACGAAAATGAGTATCGGCAATTAATTGATTTTCATTTAATAGAGGCTCAATTAATGAAAATAAATGTTTTAGAGCTTAATTGATTAAAACAAAATAATAAAAACTTGTATGATTATTTAATTTTATTTTAGAGAATTTTTTATTCTTATGTTGTGAATGTAAGAATTTAAAATATTATAAAAATTAAAAAATTAAAAATTAAAATAGATTAATGTTATGAATGACCTTTAAACTATAATAAAATATTTAATATAATATCTGAATTTTAAAAAATTTTAATATTATATCAAAATTATGAATCAATTAATTAATGTTATATTTTAAAAACTAAATATCATATTAATTAATAAATTTATAATTCATATATTATATTAAAATTATTAAAATTTATATATCATATTAAATATTACATTATAGTTTAAAAAATTTTTATGATATTAATCCAATTAAAATTTAAAGTTTGGTAATGAAAATGAAATATTATGTAAATAAAATTGTTATATGACAAAATGTGAGGCGGCATATTCCGTATAATGGGTGCATTCAATCGCATTGAGGTGGCAGCATCAACACCGTGAAGTGATTCGGTGACACTCCAGTGGGCGGATACCGGCCCAAATAAAAAATGGGAAAGAGAAAATTTAATAAAATAATAGTAAGAGGCCACAGCCAAAGGACAAAGTATGTTTGATTGGATTGGCATTGAAAGTTACAAACATCTATCAAACACTGCCACCTGTCCACGCGTTTTTCTTTTCTTTGATGCGAAAGATTTTTAGATTTTTATGATTAATATTAATATAATTAGGTAAAACGGGAGTTAATTAATAATATAAGTTAGAAAATTGGCAAAAAATAATAGAAAATTATTAAAAAAAAAAAGAGAAGAAAGAGAGAACGCGGTTGGATTTTCCTATAACGGGAAGAAAAGTAAAACTGTGGTTATTTCTTTCTCTTTTCCTCAACACAAAATCAACCCAAGATCTCCTCTTTCTTGTTCAAATTCACTGCTGCCCACAATCAGAAAAAATATAAAAGAAAAAAGGTAAGAGAAACATTACATCTGTGGTATGAAATCTTTTTATTTATTGATTCTAATTATTTCAGTGATTTGGGTTATTTCTTTGTTATGGATAATTAATAATTATTATTGTCTTTGAGAATTGGAATGGAATATGAATTTTGAACCTTTTTTTTTTTTAAGAAATGCTTTACTATTGAAACATCTTTCCTTGGATTTGTGGTTTTTGTTTAGCAGTTTGGAGATTCTGGCTCCTACGTTTTTTTTTTTTTTTTGGTGTTTTAATATTGTGTTCTTTGGGATTTCGTTTTAAGACTTGCAATTCTATATTTACTTTTGTATTTGTGGGTTGTTCTGAATCTATAATTTCGAATTTTTTACGTATTATCATCGTCTTTCTTATCTTTTTTTATTAAAAAAAGAAAGAAATGAAGATTTGAAGGGCTTAGGACTTGGATCTAACTACATAAGTTTACAATTTAGGGTGTTGTTTTTCTTCAAGGATCAATCACACGTTGGAAAAGTTTTGTTGCTTGAGGGAGAATTCTTTTTGTAGATCTGCTAAATCTTTCAAAATGGATGATCTTTTTGGGCAGATTGCGTTCCATTTTAGTTGACTGTAATTTGTTTTCTTGATGCTATTTGCTCTTTTTTGTTACAGAACCCCTAAAGGAACAGGAAAAGAGAATAAATTTGTGCCGAGGAAGGAGGAGAAAGGACTGAAAAAGAATGGAGGAAGCAATGGCAGCAAGGTACTGGTGTTATCGATGCTCTCAAATGGTGACTCCCATAATGGAAGTTGAGATTAAATGCCCAATTTGTTTACGTGGGTTTATTGTAGAAATGAGCAGTGGCACAAGAGACAGTCAAGACATAGAGTCTGATATCCAATCTGATCGAGCACTCTCTCTGTGGGCACCCATCTTGTTAGGTATGATGGGTAATCCCCGCCGCCGCAGAAGACTTAGACGTATTGACTTTGAAGAAGAGGATGATGACCATGATGATGGTGAAGCTCGCCATGGACGAGATACTGAGTTGGACCGAGAACTTGAATCCATCATTAGGAGGAGAAGAAGAAGAAGCTCTGCGACAATTTTACAGTTGCTTCAAGGTATTAGAGATGGAATTGCATCTGAAACTGAGAATTCTGAGAATGATAGGGACAGTGATATGAGCAGGGATAGAGATGGGGAAAGAGAGCGTCTAATTTTGATCAATCCTTTCAATCAGACTATAATTGTCCAGGGCTCTTATGATTCCAACCAGGGTGGTCAAAACCAAAACTCCAACTATGTAGGGTCTTTAGGCAATTATTTCATCGGTCCTGGTTTAGACTTATTGTTGCAGCATTTGGCGGAAAACGACCCAAACAGATATGGGACTCCACCAGCACAAAAAGAGGCGGTTGAAGCCCTGCCTACTGTGAAAATTGAGGAGAATTTGCAATGTTCTGTGTGTTTGGATGATTTTGAGGCTGGCAGCGAAGCAAAGGAAATGCCATGTAAGCATAAGTTTCATAGTGGTTGTATATTGCCATGGTTGGAGCTTCATAGTTCTTGCCCAGTTTGTAGATATCAAATGCCTGCTGATGAATCAAAACTTGGTTCTGAGAGGTCAAGCAATAATATTGACCAAAGAGAAAGTGAAAACAATGTTGATGGTAGTGGGGAAGAGGGTGAAGGAGATGGGAGAAGTGGGAGTGGGAGTGGGAGTGGGAGTGGGAGTGGGAGTGGGAGAAGGTTCTCGTTCGCATGGCCATTCAATGGCTTGTTCTCATCGGGTTCTTAGTCTGGCAGAGGCAATTCGTCCTCTACTTCTTCAAGCTCTGAATCCGGAAGTGCTTCTCTAACAGATGAGAATTGAGTATATTTCCATAAGTTATGTTCACTATGTTGCTTTGAGTATTCTGCCTTGCTTATGTACATAGTTATCGTACAATGAATTTGAATCTTGGGAAAAAATTATGTTTTTTTTTTTTTTTTGGGTCAATTTCTATGTTCTTGGAAGAATTTCTGCAGCTGCTGCTGCTATTTTACCTACTACTCCTGAATTCTGATATATGTAATTTTGTTTCTGTTCATTTGAATGGTACTTTTTCTTATTTTATTTCCCTCTTTGGCCTCGTCTAATAGTGAAAAATAACATTTCATATTGGACTAATTCATCAGAGCATCCTGGAGGAGACTTTGAGGCTAAGGGATGTGAGATGTGCACGTAGATTTTAAGTACAAATAAACCCATCAGTTGTTTTACGTAGTGGGGGGGGAGAGGGGGAGAGTCATGCATGATGAATCTGTGTGGATTAATATAAAAGGCGGTGATGGTAGAGCCTGAACGATCTGATCTGGCTGGGGATGGCTGCTACCCTACACCCCAATCCATGTAGAATATTTTCAATGGAACTGTCCTTTTTTTTTTTTTTAAAGATAATCTTCTAACTCAACTTTTAAGGATTATCGGACACTTTCTCCTTTGACTTTATTCATTCATAATTTATGAATGATAAATTATGCCGATGGAGCAATAACCTACTTAACATTCAAGTCTTATCATTGTTTTTCCGCAGCATCAATCAACCAAACAACCCAGGAAAACATCCAAATAGAACTCGCGTCTAACATGACGTACGAACAGATGTAGTACGTTAAATACAAGCGATTTCATCGGAAACAAAATGGAGATACAAGTCAGCCGGCACTAACACCTTCAGGCCTTACCAAAGTGACAAAGTCTGTGCATATAATAATAAAATAATAATAAATCACTTGCGGAATCAAAATGAAATCACTTGTCAACAAAATCATAGTTACGTCACGTTTGTTGCATCCAAAAATAAGAACACCGGAACGCTACTGCATAAGAAGCATTGTTTAACCCCTTGTACTAGGGAACGTCCCAAAAATCAATCCAAAAGTGAAGCAAAAATCACCAAGGCAAACTCACATGACAGTACAAGATCTTGATTACGGATGCAGCTCCAATCCGATGCAGAGCAACAACTAAATCCCCATTATGGCATAGTCCCTTTGCCTTGGCATGCTGAATAGCAAACTCCATTGCTTCCTCTTTCGTCTCTTCATCAGAAGCTCTGGCAGATCCAGCATATAAAACCAGGATCAAACCACATAAGATTAAGCTGTGCCTTGCTGGGGTTTCATCACTGCATGACCAGTCAAACAATCCGTTTTGATATTAGGGACGACCACGGATAAATTAAGCATGTCAGGTGTCATGATAAAGCCTTGGTGTGCCTCGGTCTTACCATGATTGACCCTAAGTTGAGCAATGGATGAAGCCTTGTGATTAGGATATGGTCCTAGAGTTGTAAGCGAACAGTGTAAGCCCTAGTGCTAAGATGCGCGGACAAGTGTAGGTTAGTGTGCAGGCGCCCTAGAGCTTGGTAGTCAATCAAGTGTTGTTAGTCGAAGCTATTTGCGGGCACCTTCGAGTGGGTTGGTAGAGCAACGAATGGAATGCTGGTATTATTGGAGCTAAGAGGTAGGCCATTGAGCCTTAAGTTGGTTAAAAAGGACCCTAAGTTGGCTGAGGAGAAAAGTGTTCCCTTTTCAGACATTTTTATGGTTCCTGATAGCATAATTGTGAATTCTATTATGCTCTTTATAGGGAAACGTTTGGTGTCAACTCTCTATCACCCCTTTGGCTAGTAGGTGGGTAGAGCTTTGCTAGTCTAAAGTGAGCTACTCCTAGACATATATGGTGTTTAGGTGGGTAGGTGTCATCAGGTCATAAGTGTGGCATTGTGTCTCCTGGGGTCATGGCAAACCCGGGGACGATTAGGGCTAGTGGGCATCATATCATGCTTTTATGTTAGACCATGGGGTTAGACGATAGCGTTCATTATGCCCTTCAATTTCCATTCATTGAGTTGGTTCGATAAGTAACCAAGGATCATGAGATGGTGTTTATGTAAAAGGGGCACCATCGAGCATGATGGATGAGTGGGCTAGCAAACAAGCATGCTGTTAGACCCTTATGGCCATTCGGTAGAGGTATACTGCGATTAGGGTAGCACACCTGAGTTTTACAAGGTGGGACATGAAAGATATTAGGTGTCCATCATGTGTATAGGCAACCTAAAGTGAGGCTAAGGGTTAAGACCCTTAGATAAAAGTTTTGTGAGAATGAGATGAGCCTAGAGGGGCTCTAGGTTGGTTGTTGACCAGCATTCATGTTGTACCTTCAAGTTCCAAGCACAAAAGCTTGCAAATGGTCTTTATGGGCATGGTGTTGGGTTCTCACCATGCCAAATGGAGATACTATCACAAGAACCAAGTTTGCATGCCCATATGTGAATTTGATTAGGGTCGATGCTCGGGATCCTAGTGCTTGCAAGCATAAAAGGGTGCACAAAGCCACCTTAAGATTTATGGGCTAGTGATATGATAGGAGTTAAGTTCTTCCCTATTGAGTTTCAGAATGTTGCGAGAGACCCTACGGGGTTAGAGTCAAGAAAGAGTTCACATGTATGAGGCTTGAAAGATTGATAAAGAGTTGTCCATGAGTAAATGGGCTCACAAAAGGCTGACCTCGACTATATGTAGTCTTGGTGTCACATGTGTAGACACTAAATTTTATCTAAAATATCTTTCAAAATAATTGATCCAGAGCTCATTTGCAAACATAGGCCAAAACCATTTAGGAGGACCATTTATGACTCATAAAAGACTCACAAAATTGCCTATCTAGAAAATCTAAAGTCAATTTGGATCAAATTCGGTCAAATAAAGTCAAAATTGCACAAAACTTGATCAAAATGGATAAAAGCATGAGTCAATTTTGAAAATTCAAAACCTCATTAAAATAAAAGTGATTTAAAATCGAATTTGAAATTTTTTTGAAAGACTAAAATTTTTATGATGCCCTGAGAAAAGCAAAACTACCAAAATACCCTTATAAGGTATGCTTTTGTAATTTGAGCTTTTCGAGCTTGGATTTTTATGAAACTTTTCAAATATTAATTTTATAATATTTCATGATTTTTATTGCATCTAAAATCGTAGTAATCCCCCGAAAAGGGTAAAATTACCAATATACCCTTTTATGGGTATTTTCGTAATTTAGCTTTCTCAATCTCGAAATTTCATGAAACTTTTCAGATCCTAATTTTATATTATTTCATAATTTTTGGTGCATTGTAAAATTACTGCAGTACCCTGAAAATGGTAAAATTACCAAAATACTCTTAGAGGGGTATTTTCATAATTTAGCATTTCCAAACTCAAATTTTCACGAAAATTTTTAAATCTCAATTTCATAATATTTTATTATTTTTGGTGCTTAAAAATCTAAAAAATGACCATGAAAACGTTGATTTTTAAGAAAATGACCATAAATACCAAAAATTTATACTATGGGTAAAATCTTTTTCTGCCTCTTGATCTTGGAGGCTTGGCCGATTATGTATGGCTGGAAGGAAGCTACTGGAACAGGAGAAGGGGGGAGGAAGGAGAGGCATCTGAAAAAAAGGGGAGAGAAAACACACCAAAAAAATCAAAAATAAAAAGGAAAGCTGAAAACCAAAAAAAAAGGTTTAAAGTGAGAGCCCATACAAGGGCATATGCTGCCGTTTGCATCTCTTTTTTTTAACACCATTCTTGCACCTACCATGATATCTTCTACAAAGTGCTCTTATTTGTTTTTTTCATGCTTTGACTTTGGTGTAAATGTGGATGAAGTTTAAGTTCTACGTGTTCTATTGCTTTGGTTGCAAAAATGGTTGAAATCTCATCCTTCTTTTTTTGCTGGCATTGCCGAACAGCTGCTGCCTCTTCTAATGGCAGCAGCAGTCCGCTCACCCCATAAATCATTCCTCCATACCTTTGCTTCTTTAAGGCCCTTGCTTTTCCATCCTTCATAACTAGCCTTTATTTAGCTTAAGCTAAAACAAATAAAGAAAAGGAAATCAGTAACCAAACCGGGCTGCCTAACCTTCCATGGGCAGTCACGGTTTGGATTTTTTTTATGTACAGCCGTGGAAAAAGGCTTTAATAGAAATGGTTTTCAAAGTAAGGAGGTAAGTTGTTAGAGGGGGAAGAAATGTTTAAAAGTTTGAGTTTTCTTTCTTTTCTAGCTCTTAGTTTCACGTGTGGGTCTGGTACAAGCCATGAAGTTCCAAGCTGCATGTCTTAAAGCTCCATCATTCATACGTTTGCCGCCTTGTGTGTTTAAAGAGACTTAAAGTTTCAACATGTCCCTTGCTTATGGTTTATTTTCCATGCATCTATTTGTAAGAAAGCTTAGACCATTTTGATTTATTTTACTAGTTTGTGCCATCTAGTTTCGGTTCTTGTTGTCCTTGTTATCAAAGCTGAGTGTCTCTTCACTGTTTCATGTTGATTGGTTTTAAAAAATGAAATAGAAAAGATGTCATATGTAGGTAGTGTCTCAAGGAAGGTAAGGCGGTAATGGGAGTACTTGGGAGACCTTGATGGGGTCATTGCTATCTCTTCTTAGTTTGTAGTCATTGTATGAGGCGTTGCTTGCTGCATGTAAGCTGCTTGTGTTCTTTCATTATAAAGAAATAGTGTCAAACAAAGAAAGCCACATATGAAGAAGAAACAAAGGCCATGGCGTTGGGACCATTGTGGCTTTCTTTATTTCTTTGCATTTTTAATCGATTGGTTTAAAATGGAATGCTAACACCATTTAGGCAGTAAAAGGGGATGACATGGGACCATGGTAATGGTTCTCATATATTTCTTTTAACCTTGATATGAATATAATAATAAAAATAAAGTAGTAACTTTCTTCATTTAGAATATTGTAACAAATAAATTTTTAAAATATAAAACTTAAAGTTTGTTTTCAATAAAGTTTATTTTTAGGTGTGTTTGATTTTAATTATACTCATGCAATTTGTTCATGATAGCTTAAATTCAATTGCAAGCTTAATTTTATGTGCTATTGATTTCTTTATTGTTTGGATCTTCATGCTTGTTTTAATTTAATTTTTTATATCTAAATTCATATTTGATATATTTTAAAGTAAGCAATAAATATATATAAAATATATAAGCATATGAAAATCTTTTTTAAAGGAATTATAAAAATGAACTTGCTCCGAAA